GGCATCCCTGTCTGGGGACAAAGCCAGCATAGAATAAGGGTGAGAGATAAAGTGTTATTGGGGAAATCTTTAAAAAAAAAAAAGAGTTTGCAAAATATAATTAATCAAACTATAGACAGATAGACAGAAAAGCCCAAAGCCAAAAAACAAGACACCGCCCCCCCAAGCACCAAACACATTCTGCCATTTGATGCAGGTAGTCTTTGACTTAGGACCATTTTGTTTAACAACGGTTCAAAGTCATGGAAAAAGTGACTTGCAACCCCCATCTTCAAAGTTATAACTGTCAGTCAGATGATCGCAATTTGGATATTGGTTAACTGGCTCGCATGTATTGTTTGCAGCAACTTGCGGCCACTTAATTGCAACTGGTAACCATCCCGGCTGGCTTCTGACAAGCGAAGTTAATTGGGGAAGCCTGATTCATTCTATAGCTGCGTGATTCACATAACAACCGCATGCTTCGCTGAATGACCACCCTAAGAATCGTCATCAAATTAGTCACATGATGACTTGTTTAATGTTTGCTACCACTTAGCCAATAAAGATTCCCCCTTGTTGCAATGGCGGTGCTTGATAACGCAAACGATTAAACATACAGGTGGTCCTTGACTTAAAGCAGTTCATTTAGTGACCGTTCAAAGTTGCAACGGCTCTGAAAAAAGTGACCTAGGACCGTTTTACACGTTGCAGCATCCCCATGGTCACATAATCAAAATCCAGACGCTTGGCCGCTGACTCACATTTATGACGGCTGCAATGTCCTGGGGTCACATGATCCCCTTTTGCGACCTTCTGACCAGCAAAAGCTAATGGGGAAGCTGGATTCATTTAACAACCATGTTGCTAATTTAAGAACTGTAGTGATTCGCTTAATGAATGTGGGGAGAAAAGTTGTAAAATGGGGGCAAACTCACTTAACAAACGTTCCACTTAGCAACATGAATTTTGGGCTCAATTGCAGTCATAACTCAAGGACTACCTGTATTGTGCAAGATTGCCCGTGATATGCGTCCCCTGGTTCCCTAGAAAGCCTGCACGAAGCCACGCCAGAGGTGATTGCCTGGATGGCTGAACTGGACATTCGGTGAGACCACTGTGATACCCCCGTAGAAGTTTTACTTATAACTACGTGGACTGTGTATTTATGTTTAGTTCTCTTCTGTCATGTTTCCCATCATACGCTGAATAATAATAATAAATTAGCCACCCTTTCATTCTGGTCCCAATTGTGGTTGTAAGTCGAGGACTATCTGTAACACTGAAACACAGCTGGAAGAAGAAGTAGAGGACATGGTGAGTAACAGCCGGCTAGTCAGGTGACACTCAGGACATCTGAACAGGAGGCTGCTGAGAAAATCATGTGATGCTTGTCTCCATCTACAATGCTGGTTGGAGGCCCTGTGCATTCACCATTCTGGTGGCCGAAGGGTTGATCCTCTCCCATTAATCAAGGATGGAATTGGGAATGGGAGGCAAACTATCCCCATTTTTCCAATTGCCTCCAAATAAACTCAAAATACTAATTTCAGGCCCTATTTTGGGGGTTAGGTGCCATTTTAAGCTTGTGGTGAAAGCCATTTGTCTCCCTGAAGCTTAAGTCCCACCATTAAAACCCTGAAAATATACCGTGTTTCTCATATAATAAGGCCGGGTCTTATTTTTTTTTTTGAGCCCCGAAAAAATGGCTAGGCCGTCTTTTCGGGGGTGACTTAATTCCCCCCCCCCTTGCATCTTCGGGCGGGCGGCGATGGCTTGGATGTTGACCTCAGCGTTGGTGGGGCACTTCGTATCGGGGTCAACACAGGCAGCACCATATCCGGGTGTGCAACAAAAGTACTTCCTAACGGCAAATCCCCCCCCCATTCCCCCCCATTTCACATGTTTTAATATAGGCCTTAATTTGGGGGGAGGGGCTTAATTTCATTTCATGCCTATAAAACATGCTGGGACTTCCTATTGGGGGAGGCCGTATTGTTGGAGAAACAGGGTAGAAACTTCAGTTTATGGAGGACTTCAAATACAGGTAGCCCTTGACTTACAACCATTCATTGAGGGACTGTTTGAAGTTACAATGGCACTGAAAAAAGTGACTTTTGATGGTTTTTCACGGGACTGTTGCAGCATCCCTATGGTCCAATGATCAAAATTCGGATGCTTGGCAACTGGCATGTATTTAGGACGGTTGCAATGTCTCAGGCTCACCTGATCCCCTTTTGCAACCTTGTGACCAGCAAAGACAACGGGGAAGCCAGCTTCACTTAAACAACCCTGTTACTAACTTAACAACTGCAGTTAATTCACTTAAGAACGGTGGCAAGAAAGGTCGTAAAAAGAGGCAACAATTTTTTCTTTTGGGCTCAGTTGTGGTCACAAGTCGAGGACAACCTGTAATAAAATTTAAATGATCATAATAATGAAGTCTGATCAGCTTGTTCAATTGCCCTCTCCCCGTCTCAAAATAAGAGAGGGAAATTCATTACATGACCCCAGAGTGGGTTTCATTGTCGTGAAAAGAAACTAGAAAAATATACCCCTCCTGGGCTTTTAACGGCAAGTAATATAAATGAAACAGACCAAGATTTTCTAATTTGTAGCTCTTTTGGTAGTTACCAAAAGGACACTGGTGTTTCCCAATATCCCTTTTCAAGGATGTCATGGGGAGGCTCAGAATCCATCCATCAAGCCTAAATAAAAGAAATTGTCTTGGAAAATGGGACTTTTATTGTTTTTAAATTGATTTCATCACTTGGAAACCTGACACCACATATAGGTAGTCCTTGACTTATAACATTTCAATTTAGTGACCGTTCAACGTTACAACATCGCTGGAAAAAGTGACTTATGATCACTTTTCACCCCTATGACGTTTGCAAGCATCCTCATGGTCATGTGATCAAAATCCAGACACTTGGCCACCGACTCATATTTATGACGGTTGCAGTGTCCTGGGGTCATGGGATCAGCTTTTGCGACCTTTGGATCACCAAAAGGCAATGGGGAAGCCAGATTCACTTGAACAGCCGTGCGTTACCGACGTAAGAATTGCCACTTAACAACGGTGGCAAGAAAGGTCGTAAAGTGAGGCCAAACTCACGAATGTCTTGCTTAGCCACAGAAATTTTGAGCTCAATTGTGGTTGTAAGTTGAGGACTACCTTGAATAGGTCACAGCAGTGGAGAGAGGCCTTAGCATACTTATATTGCTTTGCAAGAATGAATGCACCCAAAAGAAAGGAAGAGAAATAAAGAGAAACACCCTTTTTACCCAGAGATTTTTTTTTTTTCCTTTCAGAAAGAATGCTGACCGGACAAGGGAGCGCGGCCAGCGGCGATAAAGACAAGAAGTCTCAAGAGCAAGTCATCTACCTGCATTGACGGGTGTCTTCTTCCAAGTGTAAGCACCTCCTTTGCCGATGGGTCTCTGAGCACGCTTACCTTGCCTGCCACCAAGCACGGCCACACCGGAGGCGTTCTGCAACTTGGGCGACTGGCTAAATGCATGCAAGACTCCACGAGGGGTGCTGGCACTTCGGGGCAGCTGGCTAGAGGCCTGAACAAGGACCAAGGCAAGGAAGAGAAAATAAACCCATGAAACTCAAGGGTTCGGAAAGGAGGCCAGCGTAGAATCACATTCTTGGAATCATACAGACTATAGCAATGGTCCCCCAAGTTTGGGAATTTTTAAGGTATGCGGACTTCAACTTCCAGAGTTGAAAGCTGGCTGGGAAATTCTGGGAGTTGAAGTCCACACATCTCAAAGTTCCCAAGCTTGGAAACCACAGGTCTGATCGGAATAAAGTTGGAAGGGACCTTGGAGGTCTCCTAGTCCAGCCCCTTGGTCGAGCAGGAAACTCTATGTCATTTTAGATAAGTAGTTGTCCAGTCTCTTCTTAAAAACTTCCAATGTTGAAGCAACTACAACTTCTGGAGGCAAATCGTTCCACTGGTTAATTGTCCTCACTGTGACGAATTTTCTCCTTAGTTCTAGATTGCTTCTCTCCTTGGTTAGTTTCCACCCACTGCTTCTTGTCCTGCCCTCGGGTGCTTTGGAGAATAGCTTGACTCCCACTTCTTTGTGGCAACCCCTAAGATATTAGAAGATTGCTATCGTGTCACCCCAGGTCCTTCTTTTCTCTAGACAGGCCATACCCAATTCCTACAACCACATATGTTTTTATCTCGAGGTCTTTAATCATCTTAGTTATGTGTTCTTTAACTCCCATGCCCAAGCAGGAAAAAGTGAATTAGTTGTTTTTAGTGTTGTTTTCATGTGCCCAGTCCTGATTTTGGGCAGTCCCCTTTGCAAGGTAGATTCTAGTTTATGCCACAGGGGAACTGATGGGTTTCTAGGCTGTGGACATGCAACTAGTGAGGACTGAACTTGCTTTTAGAATAACACAGTGGGGAGTTATAGTACAAGAGTCACATTAAATAAGTACAGAAATAAGCACTCGTGTTTTCAATCACCCCTTTCGTATTACGTTCTAAATTATTTTTGTGCCAACTTTTGGGAAAGTGTTAAGAGGTTCCGTTGCGCATCTTTATTTCTTTGTATATTCAAGCTGAGACTCAAACTGCCGGCAGTCGGCAGAAGTAGCCTGTAGTTCTGCATTCTAACCACAGTGCCACCACGGTACATGTAAGCCGAGGACTACCTCTATCCCCCCAGCGCTGTGAGGACTTCTTCTTCAGCCTGCAAGCTTGAGAAAGCAAGTCAAAAGATGCCCCACCTGCTTGAGTGAGTGATGTTGCTGAGCTATCTGTTCTGGCTTGCTCTGAATCGGAGAGGCGGCCTGTTGCAATATCCGCTGCTCGATCTCCTGCTCCTGTTGCAAGGCCTTCACAAAGGCAGCCTTCAGCCGACTCGTGTGCTCGGCTTTCAGCGCCTTCTTCTGATTGGAGGACATGCACGTCTCGCACATGATGGAGCCGCTCTTCTCCTCCCTCCAGCGGCAGGTGAAGTCCGTCTTGCACTGGACGCAGGTGTAGGGCTCCTGCGAGGAGGGGCTGACGGAGACTTTACCTGAGCAAGAGACAGAAGGATCAACCAAGGGTTTTTCAGGTGGGCAGGAAAAAGCTTAGCAAGAAGAGGAAGGAATAAGAGTAGGACGGTCCTCTCCTCTTGTTCCTCAAGCCAATTCAAACTGTGCAATGTATGGGAGTTATATTTTAGATGACTGGGAGACAGCCGGGAAGGCAAGCAATGGAGATTTACAAAGAAAAGTTCTAAAACAGCAAGTAGAGTTGATCTCTACAGAATCAAGGGCTTCTTGGTGGCTCTTAAAAACACCACTGCAAGTCTAAATAAAGTCCCACCAAAAATAACACAGAAAGCCAACAGATTCAGATCAGGCAAACATATTTCTAATCCACCAGTTAATATTTCGGCTGGCGGGACCTAGCAGAAAAGGCTTGTCTCCCATGGCCCCAGCTCTCTGGAATATCTTGCTGCCAGAGGTGAGGCCAGGCCCCATCCTTCTGGCTTCCTGAAGGGGCCTTCTGACTTGGCCCTGCAGATTGGCGTGAGCCCCCCGATGTAGATCCTTTATGCTGGAAATGGCTGGGTGCAGTGAAAGGGAAGGCACTTGGGTTTTTTCGTCTATATCTAACTCCTCAGTAATTTTAATTGTTCTTATATTTATAATTGATTTTATATTGCTCTTTTGATTACTTATCGGAGTACCTTAAAATTGCTTTTCCCAGCCTGGAGTGTCCCCCCCCCCCCCCAGAAAAGCTATTGGTCTGAAGTCCTATCCACTTCTACCTAACATGACTAAATATCAAGCATGATGGGAACCGACGTCCAGCAACAGCTCACAACTCTAAGCAATATAAATCTCAGCTTCACGTCTCTCTAGGTGGCCTCCGACAGTGCCAGGACTAACAAGAGTTCTAAGTTGGAAGGCTTCAACGTTTGGCCCCCTTAACAGCTTCTCCTCCTCCTCACCTTGAGCTTCTAGTAGGTTCTGCACCACTTCCTCCAACCCAACCAGGTAGATGAACTCATTATTAGCTGCACTGGGCAGGAAGTTCATTTCAGGAGCCGGAGGTTTCGGCGGAGGAATTTCCAGCAGGGTTTTCTCCAGCTGTTTCCGCAAGGCCAACTTAGCAGCTGCTTGCCGGCTGGCAGGGGAGTCGTTCGAGTTGACGATGGAAGCCACGCTGCTGGCGGTCGAAGCGTTCACCTGGGCAGATGTCCCAGCTGCACCTTTCAATGAAGTTGGGGAGGCCTGGGAAATGAAAAGGGGGGTGGGGGGGAGAGAAAAGTCTTTCTTATAACCATCCAATCCCACTACGCGCTACTCAAAAGATAGCAGAGATCTACACGTAAGGTGGGAGTCTTCTCAGTGGAGGAAACGGAATCTGGGACTTCCCTGCATGTAAGCAGAGACCTACGTCATGGATGGAAAATCTGGCTCTTTCAAAATCACAGGTAGTCCTCGACTTACAACAGTGCACTCAGTGACCGTTTGAAGTTATAACAGGATTGGAAAAAAGTGACTGACGACCATTTGTCCCCACTTATGACCGTTGTAGCATCCCTGTGGTCATGCGATCAAAAATTTGGATGCTTGGCCACTGGTTCCTATTGATGACCGTTGCAGTGTCCTGTCGTCAACATGGCCACCTTCTATGTCTTTCGGACAACCAAAGTCAATGGAGAAGCCGCTTCACAAACATGTTACTAACTTTAATAATTTCAGTGAGTCACTTAACAACCGTGGCAAGAAAAGTCGTAAAATGGGGCAAAACCTCACTTTAACTGTTCTTGTTTCACTTGTTTCACAATGGGTTGGGCTCAACTGTGGTTGTAAGTCGAGGACTACTGGCATTTCTATGAATGGGGAGGGAATATTTGGAGTGGTGTGGTGGCCAAGTGATAGATGCTCGCCTCCCACTTGGACAGTTGAGAATTCCTAGGTAGGAGATCCTTCTCTCCTTGGGCGCAGACAACAAAATATCTGCGTCATAAGCATCAGGGAAGGACTTCTGGCCAGTAAACGCTCAGCTCCATTCAGTTACCCAGACACTACCCTGAATTCAGGAATTACAGGGTCATAAAGAGAGTTTTAGGGGAGGGAATATCCCTCATATTCACACCAGAATCAGCTCCATCAACCCACCCTATAGCTATAGAAAATAGGAAGGAGATAAAATGAGACCACTGAGTTACAAAAAGACCACTACAAGCATCCTCCTACAGGTAGTCCTTGACATATGACCATAACTGAGCCCAAAATTTCCACTGCTAAGCCAGGCAATTGTTAACTGAGTCGTCATGCCCTGTTTTATGACCGTTTTGCCATGGTTTTTAAGTGAATCTGGCTTTCCCCATTCTCAGAAGCTCTGTGGGAAAGTTGCAATTGACAATCCCAGGACCGTGGTGGGATGCTGCAACCATTGTAAGTTGCCAAGCACCTGAAGTTTGATCACGTGACTGTCGGGATTCTTCAACTGTCATAAATTGAGACCTGGCCACAAGCCACTTTCCTCAGTGCTGTTGTAACTTCGAATGGTCATTAAACGAAATGGTTGTAAGTCGAGGACTACCTGTATAGAGACAAGGAAGGCATGCGTGCCTCTGACTGGGCCATTCGCCCTTCCTGAATGACCGTCGGGAGGAAAGAAAGGCTTAAGGACAACCGTGCTGCCTGCTTACCTGCGGGATGTTGACCAAAAGGCTCGTATTCGGGACATTGGCAACGCGGATGAGGCCCTGCTGTATGATCCGCTGGCCCTGGATCTGCACGCTAGGAACGGAAGCCCGTGGAGCAAGGAGCAGTGGAGGAGGCCCTGAGCTGGAGTGCGGGCGGATGTTGTGGATTTGCTGGGGAGACACAGAGATGGACTGATACGGATGGATGCGTGGGAGGACAAGATGGGAGGAGGGCAGGAAAAAGGGAGGGGAGAAGGAAAGCCAGTCAAGGCAGGAGAAGGGGAAGGGTGGGATGGTAACAACAAGATGCCACGGGAGCAATGCAAAAAGGGGGAAGGAAATAAGAAGGAAAAACTATTCATTTATTTTTTATTTTTATCCAAAAAAAAAAAAAAAAGAATACTCCCAAAGCCAACAGCGTGTAGCTTTATTTTCAGAACGGTTGGAAGATTTTCAGGATGCATCGGATTCTAAGAGGAAGTGTTTTTTTTCCGTTCTGCTCAGATAATCAAATAATTCAATATCAACCTGCAAAAAGAATAAGCTTCATAATTGCACTTTGATTCGCAGCCCTTTTTTGGAGTACAATTTTAACTCCACATTTACGCTAAATGAATGTTTGTTAGCTGAGGAGTACCTGTAGTGAATAGGCCTGGATTATAGAAAGGCTGGGGGAATTTAAGAGCAGTGTATAGTGGAAGCAAAGCAGGCGTGAGACCAACTCAACAAACGGTTCGAAAACGCTGGCAGGGAGCAAGACAAGTAGGTGTAATGTCACGTGTGTGTTATTGGGAATATGAATGTGTGTGTACGTTTGCAGGCAGGCAATATCTTGCTGTTGACTGAAAACACGAATTATTTGCAGTAAATATTAGACAAGAGTGTGGATCTGATAATTAAAGTGCCCAAGTCCAAGGCAGTTGTGTTTGATAAGGATGGTAAAAGTATAGATAAATGACAAAAAAACAAGAAAAGATTAATTTTAAGATGTACTGGTAGAAAGCTGGTGAGCAGTATATGGTATTCTCTGTGGAATGTTGGTTAAAAGATGCAAAAATGGCTATACGTGCAACCAATTTTGCCTTCTTTATTACACAGAGTAAAGATTGAGTATGTCATGATTTATTAAACGTATCTAAATAAAAAGCAATGGAAACAGGTTACTTAGGATGTGTTATGTAGAGAGAAGGTCAAGAATGAAAAGATTTTGAAGAAACACGAAAGGAATAAAAAAACAAGTGACTGATGGGCTTAATCATGACAATATATGAGGCTCAAAGTGTAGAATGAATATATGGAAGAAGAATAAATGTGTTGAGAAAGAGAGACAGAGACAGACAGAGACAGACAGAGACTGAGAAAATTGCAATTTGATGGAGCTGATGAGCTCTTGAAAAAAGAGAGGTGAGAAATTAAGAGAACAAAAGGCAATGGAAGAAGCGATGGACGGCATCTGTGCTGTCCAGCCAGTGTATGGGAATTGGATAGTTAGTTAGCAATTGTGAGCTGTCCCCTTAAGGGAATGCATCATGGTAAATGTAGTTAAGGTATCCTGGGAAATGTAGTCCATGTCACGTGACCACATCTGTAATCCTGATTGGTCACTAAATTAACCCTCGGTGGGTTGGGGGAGCTTTCTTCACTCTTGCCTGAACTCATGGACTTGTGGTAACTACCGCTACGAGATGGGAGGAAAGGGATAAGGAGATAACCATCTTTTTACCTACAAGACAAATATGCAAAGGATTGGACATTAAGAAGAACTTTATCACAAATGTGAGTTATGAGGATACCTGATGAACCAATAATAAAGACTTTGTATGAATGTTTTGTTGAGTTTATCTGTCTGCATCTGTATAAAAGGCAAAATCTACCACTGTACAGAATACAGAATAGTAAAAAGATGCATAGTGCGTACTGGTGGTCATGCGTGCATGCACAGACGCGCGGCATGTGGAGGAATCGTGCACGCATGCGCAGGTGGATGGCGCACGGGGTGATCACACACACATGCGCAGAGATGTCTGGTGTGTGATCATGCGCACAGGCACAGAGATGCATGGTGCATGGCAGGGGTATCATGCACACATGCACAGGCATGCGGCAAGGGGATCGCGCCAGCATGCACAGGGGGGTGGGGCTGCATGCATTGCCTTCTGGGTGTTGGCATGCGAGCGTGAGTGCAATTATTGGCATGGGAGCCGAAAAAGGTTTGCCACCACTGGCGTAGGGCATAACTCAAAATTAATAAATAATAAACAAAAGATCCATGTTCTAGTGTCCCCCTTGGGTACAAAATAACTTGAGGCTACTTCATGGACAATTTAGTTGTTACACAAAACAGTTGTTAAGTAAAACTGTGACTGTGCTTATGATCTTTCTTCAGCTTTCCTTTGGTTTACAGGTCTATATGAAGGTGATATATGCAAGCATTGGCCAGAAGAACTACTTTTTCATCACCATCACAATTGTGAACAGTTGCTGAACAAGGCAATAACAATAACACCTAGACTTATATAGTGCTTCAAAGTGCTTTACAGCCCTCTTTAAGCGGTTTACAGAGTCAGCCTATTGCCTCCAACAATCGGGGTCCTCATTTTACCCACCTTGGAAGGATGGAAGGCTGAGTCAACTTTGAGCGGGTGAGCCCCAAACTGCCAAACTGCTGGCAGCCGGCAATCAGCAGAAGTAGCCTGCAGTACTGCATTCTAACCACTGCACCACCACAGCTCTTAGCTAAACAAAGACTGTCTGTGTGGAGGAACTATCAAGAATAACAGAGTTGGAAGGGACCTTGGAATCTTCTAGTCCAGCCCCCTGTTCAAGCAGGAGAGACCCTGCCCCATTTCAGATAAATGGCTGTCCAGTCTCTTCTTAAAAACCTCTAGTGATAGAGCATCCACTGCTTCATCCACGTGGGTACTCTTATCTTTCTTATCTTCATTTTTAAGTGCTCTGGTTTTATTCTATTGTGAACAGTTGCTGGGGTGCGTCCACAGTTTCATTGTACTTGTACAATGACAATAAAGTGCTTCTTCTTTTTCTGATTCTGGAGGTAAGTCATTCCATTAAAGAGGCTACCCAAGCTCTTGTCTTCCTGTTTTTCAACCTTGATAAGCTTAAGATGCATGGACTTCAACTCCCAAAATTACTTAGCCAGCAAGACTAGCTGGAGAATTCTGGGAGTTGAAGTCCATGCATCTTGAATTTGCCAAGGATTTAGGATTCCAACCGTAAAGACAACCAGCTACTTGACCCAACTCAGCCTCTCTTGCCCAGTATAACCCAGCCAACAGCAACTCTCTGGAGTTTCAGTCAGAAAGGGACTTTTCCCAGCCAGGCAGAGATAATCAGGATATTGGGAGAGGAAAGGTGAAGTGTGGGGGGAAGGGAAAAAGGAAAGAAAGAATATAAGGTACAACAATAACTTACCTGTGCTCCTCGGACTAGCGGTGGCATGACTATTTGCGTGTTCTGTTGAGAGCCCAGCTTTGAAGATGTCTGCTGCCCACCTCGAATCAAAGGAGGAGGAATAACAGGCCCAGGAATACGTGAAGAAGTGTTCTGTTTTGGGAGGGGGGAGGGGGGTTGGGGAAGACAGGGAATAGAGAGAAAAAAATGGTTTTGCTTTGTAACTGCAGACAGTCGAAGATCCATCAAGGGCATTCTCTCCCTACTTCCCTTGTGCACATAAACCACTTTCTTAATACAGCTTCGACAGCCAATTTGGTATAGTGGTTGAGATAGCAGGTAAGAAACCTGGAGATTTTGAGTTTTAATTTTACCTCAGACACTGTTCTGACCCAACCAGGTCCCAGACAGCAAACACAGACAATGGCAGCAGCCCCCACCTTTTAAGGTTTAATCACAATTCTATTCCTTTACAGATAAAAAGGCTGCTTTCCAACAATTAGCTCCGACAAGAGCCTTGCCAAGTTGTTTGTCAAGGCTGCCAAAAACACAGAGATAAAGAACTACTTTACAGAATTCTCCAAAAAGCAGCAAGTATGTCCACCAGTTGAGTTTCAGAGCTTCTTTGCTTTCTGCAAAGAACGCTTTTTCAAACCTGGCTTTTATCCTCTTGAGGGAGGGGCCATTACCTTGCAGCCTTACTCCCGAGTCGCCTGTGCTGCTGTAATTGTTCTTTCCTCAGAGCAATCCTTCAGGCATGTGTACTTGGCACAGGCTCCTCGGGAACCTCCTCATCAGTGCTGCCAGCCCCCACAATCTCTGAAGGCGGCAGTCCACTCCCTGATGGTACCTGGCCCCTCATCAGAGTCATCGCTCTCCTCAGCCATCTGCACCTGCTGCTCGCTAACCACAACAGGCACAAAGCCAGCTGGGTGATCTTGGGCCAGTCACTGTCAGCCCAAGGAAAAGAGCCAATGGCAAACCCACATCTGAAGTCTTCCCAACAAAACCGCAGGGAGTCAAACCCTGATTTGAAGGGAATATCCTTCAAAACTGAATTGAATATTAAATTGAATTGAACATTGAAGGCAAAAGTCTGGTAAACTCGCGAGATTCATTTTTCTTGCCATGTATATGTATACATCCGAACTAGACTAAGTTGTTTCTCTGTCTCATATAATATTTGTGGGTATATACATAATTATGTATGTATGTATGTATGTATTTAGTCATGTTTATGTAATGTATATTGGAGGTGGTGACCCTTTGAGAGTTGTATGCAATAAAATTTCATTTTAATGTATGCCAATTAGTGCACATTCAAAGTGACCATAAACTTAATTCTAAAAGTTCTAAAAGAGGCCATGGCAAACCACTTCTGAAATCTTCCCAGAAAACTGCAGGGACTTATCCCAGCAGTCACAAGCCATCATCAATCCTCATTTGAAGGCAGTATTCAGATTAATACATGTAGTTTCATTTCCAATTTCTTTATCCGCTCAGAACTACTTGTAGGAACAGAAACATTACAGGGGTTCCTCGACTTACAACCAGTTGCTTAGAAATTCATCAAAGTTCCAACGGAGCCTTCAAAAGGTACCTATCACCTGGTTCCCACAATCACGTGACATTTTGGATGCTTGGCAACCAACCTGCATTTATGGCTGTTTCAGAGGTGGTATTCAGCAGGTTCTAACGAGTTCTGGAGAACCGGTAATTGAAATTTTGAAATAATTCAGAGAACCGGCAAATACCACCTCTGACTGGAGATTTTACAGTATCCTTTCCCCTGCCACGCCCGCCAAGCCACGCCCACAGAACTGGTAGTAAAAAATTTGAATCCCACAATTGGGCTGTTTGTAGCATCCGGAAGCCACATAATCAGCAAAAATGCCCCATAGCAAACCATGAATCTGCTTAACATTTGCTTTATGACCAATGCAAAAAAAAAAAAAAGTCATAAAAGCAGATCGGCCACATGGGTGACTCACTTTACAACTGACAAACGTATGACCCTAATTGGGACGTCCGTCACGGTTGTAAATTGACGATTACCTGTACTGAAGCGGCTTATAAGACTGAGTTAATTAACAAAGACCTTTCTTATGTCCTTACCTGTAGAAGGGCCGACTTGCTGGATGCCATGCTCTGTGTTCCCCGCACCAATGGGGGAGGTGTTGCTACGGCACTACCTGAAGAACCAGGAGGCTATGAAACAGACAAACACACGGGGAAGAGAGATGTATTAGAGCAGAAGTTGGCTATTCTGAATGCTCTCTTTTGGTTCTCCATTTATGGGGCGGTGAGTTTTCACTGCCAAAATGTGGCGCCAAAGTGCCTATGTTTTTTTGGTTGCACAACTTTAGCCCAGTTTTCCAAGAGCAGAGGGGAGAAGTGGAGGAATGATGGCAATTTGCTTCCTGGAAGAATGCTGCTTTCATTTACATCGTGGGTGTCCAACTAACTTTAAGACTGTGGACTTCTGTCAGGGATGGACAGCTTTTAAAAATCCGCTAGTAGCCTCTATTATAATGATTAGCCTGCGTTTTCTCATAGTGTTTATATCTTCTCTTTTCTCTCTGTCCAGCCATACAGCACCATTTATAGCTCAAAATCCAGTGACCAGGAATTCTATAAATAAATCTTAATAAACTCCAAGTACAGAAGAAGGAGAGGAAAAAAAAAGGCAGACTCTGCTCACCTTTTGGGCTGTGGTTTCCTTTTGTATCTGACTTTGTCGTAATTTTTTCAGTAAGACAAGTTTGGCTTCTTCTAACCGCAGTTCTTCCTTCAGCTGTTTAATCATTCGTTCCCGTTCCTCTGGGCTGCTTTTCTACAAGGACACGTGTGATTGGGAGAAAAAGTGTTAATTTCATTTAGGGAGGGAGGGAGGGGGAGAGTCAAATTAGGGAGAATGACAGAAGGGCTGACTTTAAAAAAGGGATTTGAAGTTGAAAGAGAGAGAGAGAGAGAAGGAGGGAGAGGGGGAGTGTGTGTTCTGTCCTAGGCTTCCCCAAAAAGCACTAAGCCAACTATCTTAGTCCCGTCAAAACCTCTTTTATTAAATTAATGTGAATTTAGGGCATTCACGTTCAGCCAATGGCTTGGCAAACAGTCTTGCAAAGGTATACTTATTAGCTCAGACCTTATCTATCTTGGAAAGCTTGACAGGGATGGGCTGGATTACGCAGACAAATCTTCACGAGGCTGGAATGAAGGAACGACTTGTTTCCTGCAAAAGCCCCCTCCCCTTTTAATCCTGATGGGAGAGGCCATTCACCGTCCATCTGTGGCCTTACTCCCATGTTGACCCTGAGCTCTTAATTGTTCCTTTCTTTTGGCAGCTCTGCATATGCGCAGGCTGGGAACCGGTTCCAGCTGCTCCCCCGCCTCATTGCTGTCCGAGCCCGAAGGCAGCTGATGACTGCCAGTCTGCCTTGGCCCCATCTCTGCCTCTGACGCAGAGCCCTCGTCGGAGCCTTCCTCAACCTCCAGGACTGGCCTATGTTCCTCCCCAACCTCCTCACTGTCCAACTCTGCTGCCAGCTCTGTCAGCCGCTGGCGGGCCACAACAGAGAGAGAGAGAGAGAGAGAGAGAGACAACACCAATGTGACTTTGGCCAGCCTTCTCTAATCCAGTGTCCTACAGACATGTTAAAGGACAACTGCCAAAGTTCCAAGCCAGCAGTGACAGGATTGTCATCATCCCAGGAGGGTACAAGGCAAGGGGAGGACGACTTTAGTCCTGCAGGAGAAATTCCAAGCATGAGGGTCAAAAAGAGACAGGCAGATGATTCGTCTAAGTGGCCCAGGCGTCAAAGAACAGAAAAAGCAGAGTATGGGAGTGAGTGGGAGAATTTTGAGCTGCTGGTGCACTTGAAATGGATGAGAAATTCATGCACTTCAATTGAAGGAATAGAAGGAAGCAGGGGGTTGGATGAGGGAGAGCAAAGCCAGGGAAACAGGAAGCCAGCAGAGGAAATCACAGTAGAGAAAACCCTCCTAGCCACAAAGCAGAGGGCACCATAGGTTTTTGCCAATGGAGAGAGAAAAGTCGATGTATGTACTGCTTGTGCTGAAGAAATGATATGGTGCAGATGGGAAGCGTCCCCAAACGCGAACTCATGATTTACTTGGCCAGACGATCTGAACATATCAAATGGGGGAGGGGAGGGGGGGAGAAGCGGGATACAGTCAGGTTGCTCTCAGTTTTATGACTGCTGGGTCAGACTCACCATTAGCACTTCTGCGCTGGTCTCTTTTAATGCTATTTTGGTTAAGCCATTCATTCTTGGGCTTGACGGCTCGTTGTCCGATAGTACTATTACATCAGGAGAAGGGACTCTCCTCTCCCGCTTTGCCTCACTGAAAAAAAGGGAAGGTACATGAACGGGGATATTTTTTTTAAGGAAAAGGATGAATAAATCCTAAGACCCCACCCACCCACCCGCCCATCCTCTCCCCACTCCGCCATGTGTATTTTCAGGCCTATTTGGGGGAGGGGGAACCAAAACGACACTTCCACCTTCCAGGTACTACTTAAGAGGATGAGAGGGATATTCAGAAAGCAAACAAATGGCTAGGGATTCCATCCACCAGCAGCCTGTGCAGATGGCAGCAGAATCGGACAGTGGGGAAGAACAGGGACCAGTCTGGGAGTCTGGCGAGGACTCGGATGAGGCTCCTGCGTCCGATGCAGAGATGGGGCCAGGACCATCTGGGAGTGGGGTGCTGACTCCGGAGCCTCCAGAACTTGGCAGTAGCAAGGCAGAGGAACAAGGGGAGTCTGTTCCCAGTGCGCTTGTGCGCAGAGCTGCCAGAAGGCAAGAGCAGCTAAAGACAAAAGGGGCAACTCGGGAGTAAGGCTTGGAAGTGATTGCCCCTCCCATAAGGAAGCAAAGCTGTTCACTCTGTTCAGATTAAACCTTGAAGCTCTGTGTGGATTTTGTACGTCGCTTGAGTTTTTTCAGCTAATTTGGCACTTTAGTTTTTGGCAGCAATTCAAAGGAGATAAAGGTGGGTGCTTATCTCAAGGAACTGTTTGGGACTCATTACGGCCTGGGAATGAATATAATTAACAGCGTTGAAATAAAACAAGAGTTGTTTGGATTAAGCGTGTGCTTAATTACAGTCTCAGGAAGCCTTGGTCAGAACACCATCAGAGAACCAGGGCCTCTTATGATGATTCCTTGACTTTCCAAGGCTAAGAGAAAACTAGAACAAATGAATTATATGAAGTGCATTTGTAATTTATGAAGCAGACAAATAAAATGCCTTTTAAACGCAGAGAATTTGAAGTGGCATATGGTATGGTCATGTGATCATCTGGTATCTTTTTGAGATGTGTTTTAATGCATGTAAGTAGATTTATAAAAAAATCTCTTAAGGGTTAAAGATGTTGATGTGATATCAAATTATGTACAAAGCTTTGCAACCGGTTTATCAGGAATGATGGCTGATCGAGCATGGTGAGGTGACTAAAATAATTATCCTGAGAAATTGGAAAGGAAATATTCCAGATGTTAAAAGAATGGGATGCCTTTTGGAAATGGGAGATTTATCCATCCTGGGAAAAGTAGTATTTTCTGCCAGTCAAATATTGAAGGAATATGTACTGCTTTGGCACAGATTTTGTGAAATTTTACAATAATATTTTCTATTGATTTTATAATAATATTGATTAAAAATCGGTGATTATTGAGGTTTAATATATAAGGCAGATTTTCTTTTTTTTGTTTTTATCTTTATCATGTTTGTTTTCCATTGTCTGTTCTTTAAGCTTAAGAACTGTTACATTTCATTGTATTGTTAAAGTGTTTTTTTCATGTTTTGTCAATATTTCATTTTGAAAACTAGCAAAGAAAAAGCTTTTTTCTTCTTCATAGGAAGTAACTAGTTCACTTTCACTGATTTTCTGCAAAAGTGAGAAATATACAGGTTTTCTCAGAGCTGCAAGATAGCCAAAGTGCCACTAAGATAGCCTACATGCCTTCACCCTTGCCTCACAATCAGGAGGCTGTGAGTTCGATCCTAGGTAGAGGCTATAATAATTGGAATAGACTCTCCTGCTTGAGCAGGGGGTTGGACTAGATGACCTCCAAGGTCCCTTCCAACTCTTGTTATTCTATGAAACTATAATCTAAAAAGTTCCTGGAGGCTACTGTAGAAAGTTACTTAATTAAAGGCTTCCTTCTGAGTTTGAACAAGTCAATATAGTAGTACATATCCCCAGATGGATTCAACTGACCTCTCTGCCCCCCTCCCCACTCACCCAATTTCTGCAGTGGAATGGTCTGAGGGGGCATCACCAAGTGCTTAACAAGGAAATATACCAAAAAGTTTTTTGTGGAAGTGAAACTTCCACCCCAAGAGGATTGTAACAGCTGATCTAAAGTGAAATGGCAATACATACAAATTCCTCTAGGTGGCACCATAAAGCAATATTTCACTATGAGCGTTAAAAGTTGAACTCCAGAATCAAAAGGGGGGGGGGTCTTTTTCGCTACTTCTTATATTATTCTACCTTGCATGCATTACCCCAGAACTACATACTATTAATACGTTTCCAAACAATGAATGAGCTTCAAGCCCAAGGCAACATTTAAATTTAAACATTTCATTTCTTTTAAATTATGAAGATCCAAGGAAACTCTTTAAGTATACAATTCTGCAAAATTAGGCTTTGAGACGCTGCGTTTCTGGGGAAAACAAGGCCCAAATTCTCTGAGAATGCTATGTTTTCCTTCCTCCCCATGTTATAGGCTGGTCTTAGCTCGTAATAAAGGTTTGGTTTGATTTGTAACTGGTCATATGTCTCTTTCCCCCCCCCCCAACTTTCCTGAGAAAAATTCCAATTGCTCTAATACTTCAATCTAATACTAATATTCTAATACTGATCTCTAATACTTTAGAGAGAGTCTAGATAATTTTACTTTGATTGAATGGACATGTTATGATTTATTGCATACATGATATGGAATCTAAAATTGTTGCCAATTCCTTGCCAGCCCCAATTATCACCTTTTTGTTGTTGTTCAGTTGCTAAGCCATGTCCGACTCTTCGTGACCCCCATGGACCATAACATGCCAGGTTTCCCCTCCCCACTCATCCTCCCCCGTCTCCCAAAGTTTGCCCAAATTCATTTTCAAATGATCACCTTACCTGGAAAAAAAAAAAAAAAGGACTTGAGAATACTAAACTCCTAAAAGTGCTTTTCAAAAAGCAACTGGACTTTTTTTTTTTTCCCTTGAAGGTGTTTCGCTTCTCATCCAAGAAGATTCCTTCAATCTTCTTAAGAACTGATCACATTTTAAAGAACTGAAGGAAGCTTCTTGGATGAGAAGTGTAACATCTTCAAGGAAAAAAAAAAAACAAAGAAAGTCCAGTTACTTTTTGAAAAGCACCTTTGGGACAACCATGACCTGGATGAACGAGAATCTCTCTAGACATTGAGAATACTGAAGCTTTTATTTTATTTTATTTATTTATTTATTTTATTGTAAAGTGGGGAGGAGAGGATGAAAGGGACTAGGTTGCTACGAGCGAGAAGTTTGGAAGGAAGAACCGGGATCAATTCCAAAGTGGCAACGAAACACAGTCTTAAGATTTCTTACAAGTAACTGATGCGATGAAAGCCAATTCCTTTGAAAAAAAGGACAATTCCCAGGAAAACTTTTTGTCAGTATGCATGGCATCAACTGTAGTAGATGAGCTGAGTCTGAGAGAGGGTCAAGCATGTAAGTATGGAGTCATTGCGCTAACACAGGACACCTAAAGCCCCCCGCTGAATTCCACTGACCCTTATCTAGCGCTAACTTGGCTTGACTGTTAGTCTATATAGGGAGCACGTAACAAACTTTGAACTCAACTCCTGTTCCTGGTTATAGGTAGTCCTCAACTTACATCAGTTTGTTTAGTGCCTTTCAAAGTTACAAAGGCACTGAAAAAAAAAAGTAAATGATGACCATTTTCCACTTATGACAAGTTGCAGCATGGACATGTGAGCAAAATTTGGATGCTTGGCAACTGGTTTCGGATTTATGACGATTGTAGTATCCCGGGGTTCATGTGATCAGTCACTTTTTGTGACCTGTCAAGCAAAGTCAATGGGGAAGCTGGATTCACTTAAGGACCTGTGTTACTAATTTAAGAGCTGCGGTGCTTCACTTAACAAAGGTGGCAAGGTAGGTTGCAAAATGAGAGCAAAAGTCACATCACGAATCTCTCACTTAACAACGTCACAATTGTGATCGTAAGTTGAGGACTGCCTGTACTTGTGCCTGGTATCAATCCTCGCATAAAACTTGCAGGTGTAATTTCCCTAGACAAGCAGACTTTTCATTTGCCAACTGGAGGATCTGCCTTGCCTGATATTTAAGAGAGACTGAACTGATCCTGAAGGAATCATGTTCAGGAGAGGTTTTTAAGGGGATTTCAAGTCTGAAACCTGGTCTCTGCTTTCATCAGAGAAATCGTTTGGTCCTCTTCACAGCCCAGATGTGACAGAAATTTTCTGATCACGGACTGGAAACCCTTTATGGATTTCTTGCATTAAAAAGAAAATGATTCTGTACTTATGGTCTTGAGGATTAGAAACAATTGATTATAGAAAGAAGGAAATGATGGGATTAAGAGAGAGAGGTTTGAATAGAATTGTATGTATAACTGCCAAAAGGAAAATCAGAAACAATCTCATATTTCTTTTCATGTTTTTATTTTTTTCCGCATTTCTCTACCTCCCATCTCTCTCAAAGAGAGACTATTGTTCTATTGTTTCTTTTTGTTTTCTTCTATTGCCTTTTCTCTCTCCTTTCTCCCTTATTTCACTTTCACATTTACTGTATCTTTTGCTTTGAATGTACTCCTCGTTATAGATGTAAAACCTTTTAATATAAATGAAAAAGTAGAAAATTTCCTGTATTTGCAAGAAGTTTTTCAGAAGGAACGCACGTGGCTGGGGGTGGGTCACCTGAGCCCCCTCTTGATCCACTATCATCACAAAAAGCTTATTTCCTCTATTCTAACAAGCATCCAACACACCATGTGACTGATTGGGACATGCTTTGTCAGTCATCTGACCCTTTTTAACCATTCCTTCCCATGTAGTGGAAAAGCTACGGTAACAAACCGGTTGGAACTGGTGTTGTGACACATCGCTTTCATTTTGTGGAATGGTGAGGCGGGGGGGGGGAATGATTAAGACAGGTACAGTAAGAAAATGGAAGGGGGGGGGGGGAAACCACCACACACAACCAAGAACACGGAAGAGCGTCCAAAGAGGATGGACGTCTAGGGTAAAACGAATTTCTCAGAGGTGGGGGGGAACAAAGAGCACAAAAAAAGGGGGGGGGAGGGAGAATTGCCA